ACAGAGAGGAGGACCTTTAACTATAGAAGAGGCATCACAAGTAATTGATCAGATGGATGTTGATACGCAGGTAGCGGCCGAGTCGTCGAGAAGTGGTGGTCAAGGAAGTTCGGGTCGACCGAGGGTTTGGCACTGTGGGACTTGCGGCAAGGCTGGGCATAATGCAAGGACCTGTCAGGAGGTAATTGAGGTTAATATGGAAGAGTATAGTGACTGATTTTAATTGATCTAATAGGTTGTGGTGTTTTTATTGCTGATTTAATTGAGAAGGTTAGGATTTTTGGGACACTCGCTTATCTGGGACACTCGCTTATCAAATACGTTAAATATAATTTAATCTTTTTCTTCATTAGGAGTTAGGTCCAAGGCCTAGAACTTTATATATTAACCTTAAGGTTAAAGCCACCTCCCTGGAATCAATTAGGAATTCATTGGTTTACTTGGGACAGATTTGTATTATGACGTAATTTCAAGTCATAGGACATATACATAACTGGAGTTTGCAGCAATTTGGAAAATTTACCTAAGCTCAATACGCCATAGTCTCTAGAATCCCCTCACCCATACTCCCTCTAGTCTTACTCCTCTGAAAAATAGTGCTATTATAAGCTTTCATTATATTTTATGACGTGCATACATTACATACCATAGATATAATATATATAAATACTTAGGCTTATGTCTTACTGCGATTAGATAGACTAAAAACAGATATTATAACTCTAAAACTAAGCACATATCCTATGACAAGATTTTAACAATTACATATTATTTAAAATTCCCCTCACCAGACTTATACAGACTATGGAACACTGCCGAGAAGAATGCGCAAGAAGCGTCTGCAAAGCCATTGTTGAAGGTTTCAATAATGTTCGAGAGCCTATTCGTCATGCCGTCAATAATGGGCTACAGGATGGAATCCGGGACGGCCAAGGAGTTATGCAAGATACTATCAGAAACAGCATCCTGGCCGAAGTTCGTTTAGCCCAAGAAAACATTGCCGACAGTGTAAACAATCGCAACAAGAATGGCATCGATAGTACTAATAATACTGAGCAAGCCTTAAGGTGGTGGGACGAATTTCTTCGGCACACAATTACAATATCCGTTTTCGGAGGATCAATCACCCTTACAGTCATTGTCCAAGCGATTCAAGATCCTGCCGAGCTGAATAAGGACTCAAGATTTCATCACGACACCGTCCGCATATTTCTCACAGTAGCCTGGCTTCTTTTTGTCAGCGCACTGGCTCTTGCACTTGTCAGCAGTCTTCTTCTGCCATTTGATCATGAGGCAGTCAGTAGGGCCTTTGGAGGGGGCTTGCCTTCCATTGTGGGTGTCTTGTTTCATATACTGTCCTTTCTACTCTGTGCTGTTTTGCTGGGAGCTTTCATTATGCTCTCACTCTGTGTAGTTGCCTATGTGGAGGTGGTAGGATGGATAGGGTTTGGTGTTACTTTAGCAACTGCAATTATTGCCTTATTCTGCTGGTTACGGCAAATGCTAGGTATATACCATAAAAGAAAGGCTTAAGTAAAGCAATAAGTAAAATAAGTTACTTCATAGGAAAAAACTATATATATAAGGGTATTATTATTAAGGCTAGTTTTTAAGTAAAGGTTATTATATATTTTTTCTAATAAGTTTATAAGTTAGCCTTTAAGTATTATAATTCTAGTAGTTATATTATATATACCTTATAATTTTCTCTACTTAATTTACTAACCAGAAAAGGACTAATACTTATAAAACTAATAATACTCTAAGAATATATTATTCTTAAATTAATAATAACCTTATATTATATTACTCTTATAAAACTACTTTTAATATATAGATTATATTTATTAGCACTTTTATAGAATTTATCTTATTAGCTATTAATAAGATTTCTTTATATTAATAAGCCTAATAAGTATTACTTAATTATTAAGAGATATAATAATTAACCTGCTTAGTATTAATACCTTATATTATTTATAAACATAAACCTGATATAAATTAGTTTTTTTATTTAAAATTATATTTATTATATAAAGGGTATAATATATATAATAAGTAAGTAGATTAGATAAGTAACTAAATTAAAAATCCCTTAATCTTATATCTAATTATCTAATTAATTAATTCTTAATAAGATAATATACCTTAATTTAATAAAGAGGTTTAAATCCTTTTTATACTTTAGGCCTATAAGGCTAACCCTAAATTAAGTCTATAATAAGCTATAAAGATCTATAAGGTTAACTTCTTAACCCTTTATTGCTGTAATAGTGGCATATAAGCCTATTTTAAATATATCTTAAACTTATAGAAATTAAGTAATTTAAAGGAATAAATTATAATTTAATATATTATTAACCTAAATTTATAAGGATTTCCTTCTTAGTATTATAATATTAAAGAAATAATAAATTCACTACTTACTAATTATAATATATTATTAATTAATAAGTGCTAGGCTATTAATTTTATTAAGTAGTAATTAGAGCTTAAGACTTATTTTTAAAGGAGATATAACTATTAGAGGGCTAAATATAAAGATCTAATTACTATTTATAATTAATTTAAGCTTATATAAAATATAATTATAAAGTATAATATTTAATTAAATAATATCTAGAACTTTAATAAGACTAGCTTTATAATAGGTATAATATTAAGTAGTATAGTTATTATTAGCTTAAAAAGGTATAAATAATTAAAATTAATATAGGCTAAAAACTAAGAATAAGTTATAATAATTTAAGTAATTAATATAAAAGGTTAGGTAATTAATTTATTTATTATAATTATAGGCTAATATTACCTTATTAATTAATACTAAGAAAGTAATCTCCTAGTTACTTAGGCTATTATTATAACTTAAAATAACTAAATAAATAATAAAATAGGCCTTAAGTAGCTAAAGTACTTTAATTAATATATAACTAACTAATTAATTAGTCCTTATTATCTTTTAATCCTTAATAGCTATAAAAGTTACTATTTAGCTAACTTCTAGATATATTATAAAGAGAATAATATTATTATACTTTATATATTATCTTATTCTTTCTATTTACTTTAGCCTTTTAATATTAAGTACTTTAGGCTATTAAAGAAGTTATATAGTTAAAAAATAAAGTATTTAATTAGATAATTTATAACTTATATTTCTAAGACTAAGTTCTTCTTAGCCTTTTATATTACTTTTAAGCTATTATAATTAAATAAAATGTTAAAAGAGGATTTAAAAAAGCTAGGCTTATTTCTTTTAACCTAGAATATATAATCTTAAAGCTTAATTTATAATTATAAATTCTAATACCTAATAAGGAGGAGGCCTAATAAGCTTAATCTTAGACTTTAAGGACCCTAAGAATAATATAATAGTTTAGAGTCTAACTGTATTAAACTAAGCTATGCTAGGTTTATTATTAGCAGATTGCATAGGGCATATAACTAAGCTTATTAAAGTATTATATCTCTTAATAGTAGATTTAATACATATTAGGCTTAATTAATATAAAGAAGTTTTATTAATAGCTAATAAGCTTATATTTATCTAGGTAATAACTATAGTTTATATATTATTATATTATTAATACTTAGTAGTACTTATCTTCCTAGATTAAGTAGGTAGTTACTTAGTCTTAGATTATTATTATAATATTTTAGTCTTAGAATTATTAGTTAAAGTTATAAGATTAAAATAGAATTTCTTAGTCTTATTATAATTAGTATTTAATATAAAGAATTTTAATAAGATATATATAATATAACTATAAGGGTTATAATATAATTTCTTCTCTCTTCTAGGTCTTATCCCTAAGGCTATACTTATTTTTTATTTTATTAATTTAAACTTATAAGTATTAACTTAGACTTATTTTATTTTTATTTATATATTTTACTAATTATTATATTAGGTTAAGTTTTTAAGAAAAAGTATATAAAAACTTTTAAATTAAGTATTCTTATATAATATATTTATAACTTTAGTAACTATATTATGCTATACTCCTGATATTTTTATTATAATCTTCTTTATAAGGCTAAAGATAAAAAATCAAGCTATTATAAAAATTATATAAATACTAAGGTAATTTATAATAGTTCTAGTATTATAACTTTTTAAAGGTTAATATTTTTTATATTTTCTAATTAATTACTAATATTTATAGTTTTAAAAAATATAAGAGAGTATAAAAAGTTAAAAGAGGATAAGTAAAAGGCTAAGGAGGCTCTTAAGGAGGCTATAGCTTATTTAGCTTATATTTATAAGATAAAGTATTATCTTAAGGAATAAGATAATAAGTTATTTTCTTATAAGATATAGTCTTTAGAGGAGTAAGGTAGTTTTTCTATTAATTAGGTAGAATTATTTATAGTATTTAAAGCTTAATCTTATAGTACTATAAATATAATTAACTAGAATTTTATTTTTATAGATATTTCTTTTTCTAATTCTTTTATTATAGTTAATAAAAATTCTTTAGGAGTTATTAGATATTAATAAGGTATTTTAAAGGTTCCTATATATTTTTGCTTTCTAGGTAGTTTTTCTATTTAATTAGGTATATTCTCTGTTTATTAATTATATTTATTTTCCTAATTACTTTTACTTTATAGACTTCTAGTCTTATAATTTCTTATAACTTATTGCCTATTTTGACTTAGATTATATCTGCTACTGATTTAAGTAATAAAATATAAAAGATTAAATAAAGCCTAACTTTTAATAGTAGGTTTAGTTTATAGTTATTTTCTAAAATTTTTTATAATACTTTATAAGGTCTAATAAATTTATAATCTAGTTTATATATTAGTTAGTCTATTTTGATATTTTTTATAGCTAGGTAGATTATATTTCCCTCTAAAAAGGTTAGTCCTTTTAATTATTTTAGGTTATAATAGTTTTTTATATATTTTCTAATAAATTTAAGTTTTATTTTTATTTCTTTATATAGATTTTTAAGGTTATTACTTTTAAGTATAATAACTAAATTAATTGATTTTTCTTATTATATATTATAATATATATTTAATATAAATCTAAAATTGGTATAAGCTGGTGTAAGTTTTATATTTTTATTATATATAATATTATATATAAGTTAGGCTATTAGTAGTTTCTTAACCTAATTATTTTATTTATAGTTAATATAATATTATAGGTATTATTTAAGTACTTGGTTTATTTATTTAGTTTATTTATTAACTTGTAGTCTAAATATTATTATAAGTCGGTGATTTAGTTTAAGTTATACTATAAGTAATTACTAAAATATTACTATAAATATAAGTTTTTTATTTAAAAGGATTTTTATTAGTAACCTATATATACTAATAATATATTAGTAAAAAATATAAAAAAGTTCTTTTATATCTATAAATTCTCTATATAGTAAATAGTATAAGAATTTTATAAATTAGTTAATTATAACTATAATATTATTATAAAAGATTCTAGTTAAGGGTTCTTTTAATAAAGGTAGTTTAGTTATAAAGTTTATTATAATTAAATCCTAAGGTTATTATGCTATTAGTAAGGGTTATAGCTATCTATAAGGTTTATGCCTTTAGGCTTTTATTCTTAAGTATAGGTTATATTATTTAATAATATCTTTTATATCTTTCCTTTTAAACTTATATCCTTAGTCTTAAAGTTATTTTAGTATTTTTATAATTTCTTAATATCTATTTAAAGGATATAAATAAAATTTATAAAGGAAGTTATATTCTTTTTTTACTAAGGGTCTTATTTTAATTATTCTTATAATTATTTTAACTAGTTAAGTAAACTAGTATTCTCTATTAGAGTTAATCTCTAGGAGTTATTTTTTAGTTTTAATAGTCCTTATATTAAAGTTAGGTTATTAATTAATAGCATCTATATATTTATTATTAATGCCTTTATAATAGGCTATAATAAAGTTAAATTTATATAGGTATTTGGCATAGTATAGTTATTATTAGTTTAGTTCTTATATTATTATAAAGTAAGTTATATTCTTATAGTTAGTAAATACTTTTATTAGGTACTTACTTCCTCTAAGGTAATATTTAAATTCCTTAAAGTAGTTAATAATAGCTAGGAATTTTTTATTATAAATAGGATAATTAAGTTCTATTTTATATATTTTATAAGAATAAAAAGTAATAAGATATAATACTTTATTATTATCTTATTATCTTATTTATTCTCCTAAGGTAAAGTTAAAAGTATTAGTTTTAAGTTTAACTTACTAGTTAGGGTTAAATATAATTAGGATAGGTTTACTTATAATAGCTAATTTAAGCTATTTAAAAGCTTATTATGCCTTATTATTTTATTAGAATTATTTATCCTTTTTAGTAATCTTGGTAAGAGGAATAGTAATTTTGCTAAAACCTTTAATAAATTATTAGTAGTAGTTAGCAAATCCTAGGAAGGATTAGGTTTTTTTTACT